GCCGCCCTCGGCGCCGGGCGACGCGCACTCCCTGCCGGCCATCGCGCGCCGCCTGGGCCACCACCCTCCGCAGTCCCTCAACGTGGGCAAGCCCCTGTACCAGAGCATGAACTGCAAGCCCATGCAGATGTACGTGCTGGACATCAAAGAGACCAAGGAGAAGGGCCGCGTCAAGTGGAAGGTGTTCAGCAGCAGCGCCGTGGTGGGGCCGCCCGAGACCAGTTTACACACGGTGGTGCAAGGCAGAGGGGAGCTCATCATTTTCGGGGGCCTCATGGACAAGAAACAGAACGTGAAGTACTATCCCAAAACCAATGCCTTGTACTTTGTGCGAGCAAAGAGATAATGCGGCGCTCGCCCCGCCGCCTTCGTCCCCGTCTCGCCGCGGCTCCCCCTCTCCTCCTGTTCTTTTTAAGCCCTCGACTCGCTCTCGCCATCCTTGAAGCTGTGAATTTTCAGGTGCCGCCCAACCAATAAAGATGCGAAGCGAAGCAGCGAGGCCCCCGCTGCCGCGAGGGGCTGCCCGCGCGGAAGGGCCCGCGGCGTCCAGCGGGCGCCCTGAGACCGGTATCAAAGCCAAGGATATCTAAATATCCAAAGAGACCCCAAATCGTCCAGCGCTGCCAATCTTTTCTGTAACCTTTGCTCAACACAAACACGATGCCTTTTTTGGGGGGAGGGAGGGACGTGCAGTGCTTCTCCCGAAGCCCTTTGGCCCGAGCGCTGGCCCTCGAGGAGGTGGAAAGGACAAAACGTTGCACGGAAATGCCCAAACTCCAGATCCAGGTAGGCAGAACTTGGTGTAGCTGCCCCCGCTTCCCAGCAGCTCCGATTCCACCCCCTGGCTCTGCTTTGGGGGCTGCATGGAGCCCCCTCCCCGGCGCTTTCCCTGCCACCAGAGCAAATCCTCGGAGGCCACAGGGATCCGGGGCTCGTGAAGAGCGGGCGCTTACCCTGCGCCTTGGCAGTACCATGAAGTGGCCCCCTTTTTTATATATATAATTGTATTATTATAATATAATAATTACTGTTATAATTTAGATATTATATTATAATAATATATTCTATATTTTTTTTAGATACGCTTTTGTTTTCTCCATCCGGCCACTGAGTTTTTGCTAGGCTTGCCCACCGCTTCCTGCAAACTTCCACCCCGACCCTCCGCGTCCCAAACCCTCCTCCGGCATCGGAGCCGAGCTCGGGGCTCGCAGCTCTCCGTGAAAAACTGCCCGTTTGGGCAAAAATGCGCTGGGGGCACCCGTGGATGGAGGCTCAGCCCAGCGCAGGATCAGGAGCGAATTCGGGTGATATTTAAATGTGTAAAAAAAAAATCTTTTTTCTTTTTTTTTTTTTTTTGGGGGGGGGGAAGGTCGTGTGTCCCCCCGACCCCCCGTGACGTTTTTAGGGTTGAATGAATAAAAAGGCGAGAACCGGCTGGCTGCTTCCTGCGTGCTGGGGAGGGGAGCTCGGCCTGGCCCGAGCGGCGACATTCCCGGGGGGAAAGGGGGTGGATGGAGGGGAAAAAATGGGTCTCAAATGCGAAAAATGGGGGCAGGGAGGGGGAAAAAAAAAGGGAAGTTTGAGAAAAAAGGGCGATGCCCTCCCCATCCCTAGCTATACCTATAGGTATACCTCTACCTATAGGGCCCGCACTCTACCTATAGGGCCCGGAGCACCAATAGGGCAGGGAACCCC